AGACATAATAGTCTAACGGATTGGTATCCGGAGATTTTGGTGGCCATTGTGCACTAGAAATGAAGCGAGGAACCTCAGTTTGTAACCAATCTCGGGTGGCGCGTCCTGAGTGCAATGGTGCTGAGTCCTGTTGGAATGTCCAAACCATGCGGCCAAAATGTTTACGTGCCCAAGGTTTTAATACACCTCCAGGATATTTTTGGGGTAATATTCGGCATTTATTCTGATACGAGCGTAGAGCGACCATCGGCGGTTATGGTGGCCCACACCACACCATGGCCGGCGCTTGAGTTCTGGTGGCCAATCGAAGGTGCAGATTTTCAGCTGACCTCTTTGGCAAGTAAACGCGATCATTTTGTTTGTTTACAAACTGCTGGACAACGAATGTTTTCTCATCGGAGAAAACCAAATACGGCATTTCACCACTTTCGGCCAAGCGAAGCAACTCTTTAGCTTTTTTGAGTCTATTTTCTTTCCGTTGCGGTGTAAGTTCTTCCACTTTTTTGAATTTCATGCTTTACCCCGAACCATTTTTTGTAATATTTGTCGAATGGAATATTGCGATATGTCCATCTCACGAGCCATTTTTCGGCCACTGCGACGCGGATTTCGATCAAATCGCTTCTTTACTTTTCGAACCATTTCTGCTGATGTTGCTGTTTTCTTCCGTCCACTTCCTTGACGTCGGGCTACGCTATAAGTATCACGGTAACGAGCGATGGTATGAGACACAAAATATTTAATCGCATTTAAATGCTGGAGTGCTCTATCTAAAGCTACTTGTGGGTTTCCAGCCAAATATAAAGAAATCACACTATCACGCTTGAATTCCATCACGAATAACATTTTTTCTGGAAAATTCTCACCAAAATGATTTTGTACGCTTGTAAACAATATAATAAACTGTCACTGGAATAATTTTAACAGCTGTCATACGAGTGGCTTATAAATTACAACAGTCTGAAGTTGGCTGCAGTTTTTTCATCTCACCCTGTATGTTTTCAGTTTTTTGGAGTTGTCGTCATCAGAATCGATATTAATTTCTAAATTGAAGTCCCGGCAACATGACTTTAGTTTAACTACTAACATAAATAAAGTGTCATCGGTTTATAAAAGATAGGGACCCCATAAAGTATGGTAAAGAGTAGAAATCTTTGTCGATCAAATTATGTCCGTGAGCCTCTCCTTTTACCATTTGTAATTACGATATTAAATATCATAACGTCATTCAAACGTTGTGCAGGCTGTCATCTTATTCTTAGGATGATTGATGTTACAAAAGGTATATATTTGTTCTCATTTGGATATAGCCCTCATAGAATATTATCTCCTAATACTAGTCGACCCAATGTGCTCTAATTTGGGATTTGATGATTTCAGTGCAGTAAAATGTAGTCCTTTAACACTGATTTCCCATATAGCCTGCCGATATAGATATATTCTCTATATTAATTCCATTGGAAAATGTGTCTAAAATGGTCAAAATACTGAATATCGGGGGTACGGTCGAATGGGGGCTATACGATATCGTGGACCTACATAAACATACTCAGTACTCAAAAAGAACTCCTTGTGTGGATTTTCAGACAATTCCATTGGAAAATGTGACTAAAATCTTCAAAATACCGAATATCGGGGGTACCGTTATATTGGGGTCATACGATATCATGGACCGATATAGACCATCTTGGAACGTTACTGAACTGCTTGCACACAAAAGACTGATATGTGCAAAATTTTAGCTTCCTATCTTATTTCGTTTGGCTCTAGCGTGATTACAACATATGGACGGACGGACAGGGCTAAATCGTTTTAGAATTTTACGCTGATCGGGAATATATACATTTTTAGGTCTAAAATTGTTATTTTGATGAGTTACAAACGGAATAACGTACTTAATATAGCCTCCATACTATGTATGGTTAAGGGTATACAAATATAGCAATAGGGTATACATAATAGCATGTAGAGTCTGTACCAGTTTTAAAGTGATCATGTCTTAAGAAGACCTATTTTTGTATTGTAAGTTTGGTTGAACAAATCTGGATTAAGCAATAACTCCCGATAATGTGTACAATTTCAATATTTCTATGATTGTATGTTGGAAATAAAAATGAGTAATACAAAAAAATGGAAAATATATGAAGCGGATTACTTTTAAAAATTATAATTTTTTGCATAGTTTTGTTATCTTTTGAGACATGGACCTGGCGTATTTAAGTAGTACGGACGAACAATACATTTTACCATAGTGGAAACGTTGAATATTAGCGTACACAAGCTAAGTCGAAGTTTAGGTATCTCTTTTAAGCTTTATTGTTTATTCAGTTCAGTCGTTAGTTCATATGAAAAAAGTCGACTTTATAAATCAGACTTTTGTAGTTAAAACAATATTTTTATTTTTGTATTAATTAAAGTAGACTAAAAGCGATCCCCTTTTCTTTCATGAAATAAGAATCACAAAGGGGAGTAAAGCTAGAAAAAGGGCCAAAGTAACGAGACCCAAATAGATCGTTATAAGTCAAAATCGCATGATGAACCAAATGAAAATAAAGGAACTGGATATAGAGAAAGAGTTGGTTATAGTTCCGATCGTTCTTTTCCCTGGGTAAATCCTTTACACAATTTGGTATCGGAACGACACGCCGCTACGACAAAAGTAATGAGGATTGAGTTGATTTTAAATATCTTTGTTATTTCATGCAACTTTGATTTCGTGTTACCCTTTGACATGCAAAACCAAAAAAAAAAACCAGTAAACAAAGTCTTAAAGTCGGGCGGGGCCGACTTTATGATACCCTACACCACTTTGCTAATTTAGTAGAGCTCCATATAACAATTAAAAGGACTAAATATGCCGAAGCATTTGTATCTTTTAAATTCGGACTTGTATTGCCCATTTGGTGCACAATTAATTTGAAATCGGATAAAAATATATATGGGAGCTACATCCAAATCGGAACCGATCTCGATAAAATTTGGCAAAGATATTTCTGAGCTGTATTTGATATATTTCCCTGAATATCGTTGTTACGGAGTGCATATTACGGTTGTGGGTAACAAATATAACAAATCGCATGAACAGTATATATGGGAGCTATAGCTATATCTGAACCGATCTTCACCAAATTTAACATACTAGCTTCTAGACTCAATTCGGTCGTAAGTGCCAAATTCCATTCCATTTTCACCAATATTAGACGTTTGGTGCACAATAAAATGTAAATCGGACGAAGTTATATATGGGAGCTATATCCAAATCTGAACCGATCTCGATAAAATGTAGCAAATGTATTTCTGAGCTGTATTTGATATATTTTCCCAAATATTGTTGTTACAGAGTGCATATTACGGCTGCGGAGGACAAAAATAAAAAATCGGATAAACAATATATATGGGACCTATAGCTATATCTGAACCGATTTCGATCACATTTGGCATACTCATTTTCAGGTCCAATCTGATCGTACGTGCACAATTCCATACTATTCGGACTGATATTACACGTTTGGTGCACAATAAAAGGCAAATCAGACGAAAATATATATGGGAGCTATATCTAAATTTTTGTTTGTTTTGATTTGTGCAAAATTTCATCTGGATAGGGCAATAAATGCGAACTGTACTTTGTTAACAAAAATACATGGACAGACGGAAGGACGGACATGCATAAATGGACTCAGAATGTGATTCTATGCAGATCATCAAAAGAAACTATGGGTCTATCTCGTTTCCTTTTGCCTGTTACAAACAAGTGCAAAAAGACACAATACCCTGACCACCTTGTGGTGTAGGGTATAAAAACGAACTATTTCTATGAACTTTTTGTTTGGATATCAACAGCTTGTCACAATGAAAAAAGAATACACAGACAAGTAAAAAAGCGTTAAGCTGAGGCGAAGAAAACCCTTAAGAATATAAAAACCTCGAGATCCACGTTGAATTCGCCCCGATCGAACTTAACGCGTTTTCACTTGTTATTTTGTAAATGTGAGCAGTAAATTTTTCTTGGGACCTTAACGAATTTTGTACAATTGTTATTGATTGTAATTCAATATAGGTATTTGTCAAAAACAACGTTTGACATATGGTCATTTATTGTGTTATCGCAAATGTTATATTTATTATGGGCATTAAAATGTATTTATGGCATTTGTTTTTAAATCAAAAACGCTAACTTTTTGACATATTTATAATTGATTGTCGAACTAATTACTCGACTTGGAAAGAAAATTTATAATATTCTGCGTATATTTGATTGTGTGACAATATTAATTCCATTTTATATGGTTACTGCGGACGCAGGGCTTTTTGGGCATTGTGAGCACTTTCAACTTATTTACTCTTTAAGGCAACACATGACTATACACTCAAAGGTATTAACTGGCTCGAGTGGGCTAAAGTACGTTAAGAACACGAATTGTCGATTGTTCAGGAATACTTAGTGATGAGGCATCAGCCTGCATTTATCATTGTAATATGTAATAGCGTGTTTACAGAACCTTTGTTTAAGGCAGACAATCAAGTTTTCATTTGAGTTCATTTACATTTTTTCATCTGAGAGTAAAAGCTAATTTTACCAATAGCCTTTCTGCTTCACATAAATTCCCAATATAACCTTTTTTGTTACGGGCGCACTACTAAATACGTAAAACAGTATAGTATTTTTAGTTGGTAGATTTTACGATACGGACCTGTCGGTAATGCAGACGTACAAAACATCTTACCATAGTGGGAAAGTGGAATATTTGGGTACGCAACGTCGAATTTTAGTTAACGCTGTAACCATGGTAGAAGAAAACAGGTACATACTGTAACAACCACCGAAATAACCAAATAAAACAATAACCAATTAATTCAAGAACGGTTTCTTTTAATGAATAAACTATTTATAATAGGAACATAAAACGACGCGATTTCATCAGAAAAACTAATAATAATTTATTTTCATAAGTGATGCCAGATCAACTGGTTCTGTTTGTGTGCTGCCACTCTGATAGCTATTCAGCGGGTTGCCACATCCCTCCTCTATTTTTCTTAAGCTTCATCGTTACTTTCGGCCTGGATCCTCCCGTATCTAAGTTAGATGATTTTGATGATGGTTCCGATGATGATTCATTGGTTAAAGGACTTTCGTCGGCGGCATCTGGATCATGATGGAGTTCGTGATGTTCTGGATCTGCAACCGAAGTCTCCGTGGGCCTTGCTAAAGATGGTAGCGATGAATCAGTTGGAATTTTCTTAACATGAGTAATGTTTCTGCGATACACTCTGCCTTCTGCTGATATCACGACATCATTGCCCTTTCGTTCCGTTACTTCGTATTCAGTTTGCCCAAAGGTTGTAGATAATTTGTTAGAGTGGACAGTATTTCGCATCAATACTTTATCCCCAACTCTGATGTTGCAATCGACCGCATTTCTGTCAGAATCGGCTCTCTGTTTCCCTTTATCTTTATTCACAATGTCATTGTCTCTGGCTTCAGAGTCGATAACATTCTCTTCAACGTCATTCAGCGATGGAATCTTATCTCTAATGACTCGATTAAAAATAAGTTCCGATGGAGCTTTCCCTGTTGTGCCATGCGGAGTGACATTATACATGAGGGTAAATTTACGAATCTCCTTTTTATAGTCCATACCCTGCGAGTGAGCAATCTGAAGACGTTTTAAAAGAGAGCGGTTCAAGTTTTCGACCTCTCCATTAGCTTGGGGCCAATAAGGCGGTGATGTCATCAAGTCGATATTATTAGTACTGCAAAAAGTCTTGAATTCTTCGCTCACAAATTGGAGCCCGTTATCTGCAGTTATTGACTTGGGATATCCATGTCGGGCAAATATTTCCTCGAGAAAATCAATAATTTCCGTTGACGTTATCTTCTTCATAAATTTTAGCTCGTGATATCCTGAGTAGTAGTCAATAACTACAAATACAAAATCGTGATTCGGCAACGGGCCCAATAAATCCATTGCTACACAAGCCCAGGGACTGTCTGGCATGATTCGTCTTTTCATAGGAGCCGGTGGTATTAGCCGAGATATCAACATACATTCATGACAGCTTTTCACGTATTTCTCTATATCTCTATCGACCAAAGGCCACCAAATCTTCGAACGAATTCTTCGCTTCATCACGGTTTCGCCTGGATGACCTTCGTGGCCTAGATCCAGCACTCGTTGTCTCAGGCTTGCAGGAATCACAAGTCGCGTACCTCTTAGCAACAAGTTTCCTAAAATACTGAGCTCAAATCGAAATGGATAATACCTGTTCTTAGTAGCTGTACTCCAATCTTCGGTATTTACACATTCTACTGCCTGCAAAATCTCATCATCTTTGCTATTATTGTGTACAATTTCCAAAATGGTTAAAGCCTGTGGTACTGAATTTTCTATATAGAGCAAATGCTGAACTCGCATGGCTTATCAAAAGTAACAGCTGTATCCAGATTACAGAGTCTGGACAATGAGTCTGCTATGTTATGTTTCCCCGCTTTGTAAATAATTTTGAAGCTAAAGGACTGCAGGCGCAAGACCCAACGCTCTATACGAGCCGGCGGCTTCGATGTTGGCTTAAAAATGGCTTCGAGAGGCTTGTGGTCCGTCTCCAGCTCAAATTGAATCCCCGCTAAGTAATAATAAAATCGCTCGACAGCCCACACCAGAGCCAGGCTCTCTTTCTCAGTCTGCGAATATCTGCGCTCTACTTCAGACAGCGCCTTACTTGCAAAAGACACGACATACGGAGTGTCTCCAGTAAATTGAATTAGTACCGCCCCAAAGCCACTGGGCTGGCATCCGCAATTAATCTAGTGCGCCGTTTCGGTGAAAAATAAGTAAGTGTTGGGAGGGCAATTAATTTTTCCTTGAGTTTTAAAAATGCATCGTTTTGTCTCGTCGTCCAAATAAACTTCTCCTTGGCTTTCGTGATTTCTCTTAGAGGTTCAACATTTACATTTTTTTTCATCTGAGAGTAAAAGCTCATTTTACCAATAGCCTTTCTGCTTCACATAAATTCCCAATATAACCTTTTTTGTTACGGGCGCACTACTAAATACGTAAAACAGTATAGTATTTTTAGTTGGTAGATTTTACGATACGGACCTGTCGGTAATACAGACGTACAAAACATCTTACCATAGTGGGAAAGTGGAATATTTGGGTACGCAACGTCGAATTTTAGTTAACGCTGTAACCATGGTAGAAGAAAACAGGTACATACTGTAACAACCACCGAAATAACCAAATAAAACAATAACCAATTAATTCAAGAACGGTTTCTATTTATAATAGGAACATAAAACGACGCGATTTCATCAGAAAAACTAATAATAATTTATTTTCATAAGTGATGCCAGATCAACTGGTTCTGTTTGTGTGCTGCCACTCTGATAGCTATTCAGCGGGTTGCCACACATACAGCAAAGCTTGGGAACATTAATATGTCAAAAAAAAAAAAAAATTATATGTATTTTCAAATATTAGCTGTGTCGATGCGTGTACCTATCTACCATAATTTTTACTGACAACATTAACAGCGTTACCTAAAATCGACGTACTCGGTCGACGTTTTTCACCACACAAGTAAACACACATGCATTTACAGGAATGTAACTAAAATAAGTCAACATTGATAATTGAACAATTTCTATTTGGTGTGTTCAAAATTAATGATTAATGAATGAAACAAGAAATGTGAATGTTCGTAATTGGCATATATAACAGCAATTTTTACAACGTTCTTTGTAGGTAGATTTTAAGGTATGGACTTGGCGTATTTGTGTAATACGGACGATTAAAATATTTTACCATAGTGAGGAAATTGAATATTTGTGTACGCTATGTTGGAATTTTAGGTAACGCTGTTAAATTTCAAAAAAAAAAAAAAAAAAATAAACAAATAAAATAAAAACAAGTAAGCAAAGGCTACAGTCGAGCGGGGCCGACCGTTGAATACCCTACAACACTATAATAAACGATACATTTTATATAGGCGAGATACTCGAAAGAATTCCACAAGATATTGTGACAAATAATAAAAGAAAACCATCAGATTTCGTTCTCTAATTTTCGAATAATAGAAACTTTAACTAATTTGCTCATTTTATTGGAAGATGTTGCACGTAAATGGTCTTCCTAGATCTGGAACCAATATTTCCCAAAGACCCATAATCTCTCAGAAGTGGCAAAAGATTAACATTTATTATTGGGTTTTGACTGAAACGCATAAATATGAGATACAGACATTTGATTATATTCTTCAACGAAATCAGCGTTAAGGAAATAGTCAGAAGTGTGTCTTTCCTGTATTTGTGAATTCTCCAAAAAGTCACTGGAATGGACATTTTCGTATTTTGTCTACAAAAGTTGGCAAACTATTTCACACATTGAATATTTTTGGATGGCAATCCAAAACTGCTTGGCTTTTGCAATGCCCGGTAACCCTTATTCAAATGTGCGTGAGGATCGGGCAATAATTACGACCTGCTGACAATTTTGCAGTTTTTTTGGTTCATTTCAACCCCTAAATATATGGCGAACATCTCCAAAAAGAGTAGGCTTCTATTCTGACCCTCATCTGGTCCCCATGCAAAATTTCGTTAGGATCGGGCCATAAATGCGATCCGTATATGATATTCTGATATCCTAACTACTTAGTTTTGTTAGTTGTAGAAATATGTTTAATTCAAAATGAAAATATGCCAAAAATATGACAAAATTGAAAAAATATGAGAAAATGTACAAAATCAATATTTTCAGCTTTAGAGAGATATTTTTATGCGATTTTTTAGACGTTCTTTCTTTCCTGCCAAGAGGCCATTCTGAATTAATGAGAACTGTCGAAATCAGTTCAGCCGTTCTCGACATATAAGAGATCTTTCAAGCATATTCTCTTTGATATGCACATATATTGTACATATTTTGCTATATCCGATTTGTTGGATGTTAACATCAATGTAAAGATCAGAAGTAACCTTGTCATGGCTTTGTGATTTCGCCGGGATTTAAAATATTCGCGGTTTAATGAAATTTTTTTAATTTTTTCAACACAAAAGATATGGTCTATTTTACCCGCTAAATATTATCCGATGACCACCCAAATTGGTAGACTTCTTCCCCGCCCTAAACTCTAGCCACATGCGATTAGTCTATAATAGCGACCTGTATAGCTACTGGTCCATTTCGACCCCTAAATATTATGCGATCATCTCCAAAAGATCATCACCCTAGCCCCACCTCCATTCTAAATTTCGTGGAGATCGGGCCATAATTGCGACCTGTAGAGTGATTACAAATTAACATGGACAGACGGACGGACATACATAGCTAGATCGATTCAACTCGGCGAGATAGGAAGATCCATATATACTTTCCTATGTGGGAAATCAATATTTCGAGGTGTTACATAATTTTTGGCCCATCAAACTTATAATACCCCCAACACATAGTGTTGTAGGGTATAATAAAATAAAACAAATAAGTAAAAAAAAGCTAATTTTTATACCCTCCACAATTTGGAAGGAACCTGAAAATTAAAAAAAAAACTTCCGGAAACTACCACTTAAAAGAAAACTATTAAATGGAGACTATACAAAGACGTGGACTTGCTTATTAAATTTTTTGTCATTGGCTGTAGTACCCAAAATACTTCAAATACCAAATTTGAAACAATACCGGTCAATAATGTCGCTAAAATCGAAATACCGAATATCGGGAAGTACCGTTATATGGGGGGTATACGAAAACGTGAACCTACATACAATTTTTTTTCTCATAGCCTGTAGTACCCATTACGAACTTTAAATACGAAATTTGTTACAATTCCGGTGAATAATGTTTCTCAAATCATAAAAATTTTGAGTAGCTAGAGGTACCGTCAAACATTTTTGTCATAGGCTACAGCATCCATTACGAACTTCAAATACGAAATTTGAAATAATTTCGGTAAATAATGTCGCACCGAATATCGGGGCGTACCGTTATATGGGGCTATACGAAGACGTGGATCTGCATACAAAAATTGTTGTCATAGGCTGTAGTACCCATTACGAACTTTAAATATGAAATTTGAAATAATTTCGGTTAATAATGTCGGAAAAATCATGAAAATACCGAATATCGGGAGGTACCGTTATATGGGGGCTATACGAAAACGTGGACCGACATGAACTTAACTATTTTCGAACTTAACCTGCATACTTGTAAACTATGCATGCATGCAAAATTTTAGCCCTCTATCTCAATTTGTTCGAAAGATAGCGTGATAACAACAGACAGACGGACATCGCTAGATCGTCTTAGAATTTTACACTGATCCAATATATATATATATATATATATATACTTTGTGGTTATTGTGGTTCTATATATATATATATATATATATATATATATATATATATATATATATATATATACTAGCTGGCCCGGTCCGCGTTGCCGGCCCGTAGTTTTTGTCTATTATGCATATATTCCCAAGCATAATTATTCACAGATATGACTGATATAAGTGTTCACGTACAGGTCGATTTAAAGTGTTTTAAAATACCTGTACCCATTTTTAACCAGTGGGCTTCAATATTTAAACCGTGGGCTTCAACTGTGTGGATGTGCTATACAAATCTATTAAAAAGTATATATCAATCTTATCGCCATATAAGGGATCAAATTAATTTTTAATATGGTAAAAATCGTAGCAAAATCTTCCAGTCAAATGAGCAGTAATTTGGAATTTGCTGTATTTTGTATACTACATAATTGAGGGCTGAATGATTTAAGAATAGCCAAAGTTAATTACTTTTTAAACCCATTAGCAACTTAGATTGTGCATTAGAGTCCTCATAAGTCCCCCTAACCATGTCAGTCTGTTTGTCCGCCAAATGGTGGACTTGAGAGGATATTATAACATGGATAAAAATTCTACAATTTGTAGATATGTTGAAATTTTAGTGTAAGATTTTCACCCCCCTAATACGCATTATTAGCCAAATTCTTTGAAATGT